TGAGGTAACTGAAATTGAAGATCCAATCACTCACTTTGCTTTATTTTTAGATTGTGATCCTACAATTTTTGAAAGTGTCGTCAAAGAAGCAAAATGGCGGAAGGCGATGGATGATGAGATTGATGCCATTGAAAGAAATGATACTTGGGAGCTAACTGATCTTCCAAAAGGCCATAAAACCGCTGGTGTAAAGTGGGTCTTCAAAACAAAACTAAAGGAAAATGGTGAAGTTGATAAGTATAAGGCGCATTTGGTAGCTAAGGGATATACGCAAGAAAATGGGATCAATTATACATAAGTTTTTGCTCTTGTTGCACGACATGATACAATTAGATTGGTGATCGCATTGGCGACGTAGAGCTCGTGGCCTATTTTTCAGTTGGATGTCAAATCGGCATTCTTGCATGGAAACTTGGAGGAACAGGTATTTGTAGAACAACCCCTTGGTTATATTAAGATCGAAAATTAGCATAAAGTGTATATATTAAAGAAAGCTCTTTGTGGATTAAAACAAGTCCCATGAGCTTGGTATAGTCACATTGAGGCTTATTTTTTGAAAGAAGGCTTTTANCTGGTGTAAAGTGGGTCTTCAAAACAAAACTAAAGGAAAATGGTGAAGTTAATAAGTATAAGGCGCATTTGGTAGCTAAGGGATATACGCAAGAAAATGGGATCAATTATACATAAGTTTTTGCTCCTGTTGCACGACATGATACAATTAGATTGGTGATCGCATTGGCGACGTAGAGCTCGTGGCCTATTTTTCAGTTGGATGTCAAATCGGCATTCTTGCATGGAAACTTGGAGGAACAGGTATTTGTAGAACAACCCCTTGGTTATATTAAGATCGAAAATTAGCATAAAGTGTATATATTAAAGAAAGCTCTTTGTGGATTAAAACAAGTCCCATGAGCTTGGTATAGTCACATTGAGGCTTATTTTTTGAAAGAAGGCTTTTACAAGTGTCCATATGAGCATACACTTTTTGTTAAAATTGGAAATAAGGGAAAACTACTCATTGTTTGCTTATATGTAAATGATCGTATATTTATTAGAAATGATGGTGTCATGTTTAAAGAATTCAAGAAATCTATGATGTTTGAATTTGAAATGTCTGACCTTAGTATGATGCATTACTTCCTTGGCATAGAAGTAGTGCAATCAGCTAGTGGAATTTTTATTTTTCAAAAGAAGTATGTGCGAGATATTTTGGACAAGTTTCAGATGAAGGATTGCAATCCTAAAAGCACTTCAACTAAGTTTGGCTTGAAGCTAAACAAAGATCATGAAGGGAAGAAGGTGGACGACACACTTTACAAGCAAATTGTTGGCAGTTTGATGCATTTAACTGCAACAAGACCATACATAATGTATTTTGTGAGTTTAATAAATAGATATATGGAGAATCCAACAGAAATGCACTTGTTAGCTGCCAAGAGAATCCTTCGTTACTTGCAAGGAACTAGAGATTGTGGGCTGTTCTACAAGAATGGTGAAAAGTCAGNCACAAGTGTCCATATGAGCATACACTTTTTGTTAAAATTGAAAATAAGGAAAAACTACTCATTGTTTGCTTATATGTAAATGATCTTATATTTATTAGAAATGATGGTGTCATGTTTAAAGAATTCAAGAAATCTATGATGTTTGAATTTGAAATGTCTGACCTTAGTATGATGCATTACTTCCTTGGCATAGAAGTAGTGCAATTAGCTAGTGGGATTTTTATTTTTCAAAAGAAGTATGTGCGAGATATTTTGGACAAGTTTCAGATGAAGGATTGCAATCCTATAAGCACTTCAACTGAGTTTGGCTTGAAGCTAAACAAAGATCATGAAGGGAAGAAGGTGGACGACACACTTTACAAGCAAATTGTTGGCAGTTTGATGTATTTAACTGCAACAAGACCAGACATAATGTATTTTGTGAGTTTAATAAGTAGATATATGGAGAATCCAACAGAAATGCATTTGTTAGCTGCCAAGAGAATCCTTCGTTACTTGCAAGGAACTAGAGATTGTGGGCTGTTCTACAAGAATGGTGAAAAGTCAGAGTTGTTCGGGTTTATCGACAATGATTATGTAGGAGATCAAGATGATAGAAGAAACACTTCGAGCTATGTTTTTATGTTAGGCACAATGGCTGTTTCATGGTCTTCTAAGAAGCAATCAATTGTCACCTTGTCAACTATAGAAGCTGAATTTATTGTTGCAATAGCTTGTGCTTGTCAAGCTATCTAGTTCAGAAGAATTCTTGAAGNTAGCTAGTGGGATTTTTATTTTTCAAAAGAAGTATGTGCGAGATATTTTGGACAAGTTTCAGATGAAGGATTGCAATCCTATAAGCACTTCAACTGAGTTTGGCTTGAAGCTAAACAAAGATCATGAAGGGAAGAAGGTGGACGACACACTTTACAAGCAAATTGTTGGCAGTTTGATGTATTTAACTGCAACAAGACCATACATAATGTATTTTGTGAGTTTAATAAATAGATATATGGAGAATCCAACAGAAATGCACTTGTTAGCTGCCAAGAGAATCCTTCGTTACTTGCAAGGAACTAGAGATTGTGGGCTGTTCTACAAGAATGGTGAAAAGTCNTTGTGAGTTTAATAAGTAGATATATGGAGAATCCAACAGAAATGCATTTGTTAGCTGCCAAGAGAATCCTTCGTTACTTGCAAGGAACTAGAGATTGTGGGCTGTTCTACAAGAATGGTGAAAAGTCAGAGTTGTTCGGGTTTATCGACAATGATTATGTAGGAGATCAAGATGATAGAAGAAACACTTCGAGCTATGTTTTTATGTTAGGCATAATGGCTGTTTCATGGTCTTCTAAGAAGCAATCAATTGTCACCTTGTCAACTATAGAAGCTGAATTTATTGTTGCAATAGCTTGTGCTTGTCAAGCTATCTAGTTCAGAAGAATTCTTGAAGAGCTACAGTTCAAGCAAGTTGAAGCTACTACAATTTTTTGTGATAACAACTCAACAATCAAACTCTCCAAGGATCCTGTGCTACACGGAAGAGGCAAACATATCGATATGAAATATTATTTTTTAAGAGATCTCAGCAATGATGGAACAATCAAACTGGTTTATTGTCAAAGTGAAGATCAAGTTGCAGATATACAGATCAAACTGGTTACATTTGTGAAGTTGTGTGGTCTACTGGGAGTTTGTTCACATGCTACTGTAAAGGAGGACTTTGCAGAGGGTTGATTTTCTTTTAAACTGATTTCTGCAGATTTCAGTTTAAGGGAGGGTGTTAAAATGTAAATGTTTTATTTCTTTTTTATTAATATTATTGGAAGCTCTAGTCATTGGTAGGTTTGTTCGAGTCTTTAGATATTTGGTTATTTGATTTCATGGCTAAGAATGTGTCTAATGTGTGATCTTATTTTATAGGAGTTGTGGTTAGTGCTATGATGAAATGTTCTGATTTATAAGGGGCTGTTTGGTACGCGGGTTTGGGAGGGATTTGGATTGTGGGTTAGGGAATAAACCCTTTAAACTCATGTTTAGTCTAAGGTTTGAAAACCCAGCTTGTTGGATGGCCTGGTCATGAAACCCATATACTTGGGTTTCATGAAACTCAAGGGGGGTGAGTTTCATATGTGAGTTAAAGGGTTTAATATACAAATAATATTTATACCCCCATATATCCTATATGCTCCATATATACAAAATGGCTAAGGAACAAAATAGTCATTTATATACAAATATATTATCATAATAATCATATATCTCTGCGCATATCAAACATGAGTATGAATATCATTGAATGTTGAATCTCATCTTTGGGTCAAACTCGGGTTTGAACAAGTCAATCCAAATCACTCCCAAAAAACATACCAAACAGGCTCTAGGAGTTGTGGTTAGTGCTAGGATGAAGTGTTTTGATGTAAAGCTTATTTATAGGCCCTTTTTCTTTATCAATTAAATAGATTGAGTTTTACCATTGCAATGCATCTCTTTTGTTTTTTTCTTAACTCTATATTAAAAACACGTTTTTTTTTAATTTTTTGCTAAAGAAAAATGAAAAGTATTTATGTTTTTAGATTTTTTAAAAACCAAAAACAATAAACAAAACGGGATGTAAATTAGTGGAATTCATCCAAGTATGAGAAAACAAAAACACTGATTTAATTTTGTGTGAATTATAATTTTTACTCTTAATGATTACTATTTGGTCTCTCAATAGTCAGTTATAACAATCAAGTCATTTAACTTTGCGATTAATTTCAGTCAACTCTCTATGCCAAATTTTATTAGTAATTATGAGAAAAAAGCATCACCCGAGCATTACATACCTCAATTAGATACTTAATTTTGACCAAATTAACATAATATATGAGTCAAATCTTTAAAGGTGAGCCAATACATTTAATTGAAGTACTTAAATCTATATCAAAATGAGTCATCAAAAGTAATTTTAATAATTCACACATATTTAAAATTAATTTCACTATTTGATAACGTAACGCTCCCGTGACTCTTTTTCTTTAAAATTATTGATGAATTTGAATTGTTTAATTGAAATAAAAAANATATGACTCTTTTTCTTTAAAATTATTGATGAATTTGAATTGTTTAATTGAAATAAAAAATTTAAAATTTAAGGACTTGATTATTTTAATTGATAGTTCAAGGACCCAAATAAAACTTTGAGGGTACAAAATACAATTTATCCTTTAATTAACAGTCCATGTTCAAAACCGGCCTGTTTGGCGGTTTTCAACGGTACACTAGCACAGACGATCTTTTAAGTAAAGCGGACCGGTTTAGGGACCGGCCTGTCCGGTTCTGATAACATTGACTCCATTCCAAAAACCACCATGGCACCCCCAGTCTCTCACTGTCCAGTTCAAGATCCAGGCTTCGATTTTGCCAGAAAAGTTTCAAATTTTCTCGGAAAATCCCAAAACTTTCCATCACTTTCCATTCTTCATTTCGTGCTTTGACCATTCAGCTCCCCACTTGAACATCAAGCGCACGGTACCACCCTTCATTCTGCAGAATCACATTCAAAATCCAAACTTTCGTCCTCCCAGAAACATCCTAAAATTTTCCGGGAAATTTCCCAAAAATTTTCTTCACTTTCCCCCCCTAGTTTTCCATGGCAATTGCCTGGAAAAGAAACCAACCAACAAAACTCCTCAATCCCAAAGCCCTAATTTTATTCCTCTCGGCCTCTTTTATCCTCCTCACCTTCCTCCACCTCTCCTCCCAAACCCAAGACCCTAATCCTGAAGCTCGCAAAACCCTCAAAGAAATAATTTCTGACCGTTTGATCAAACCCTTTGATTGCTATAATTCACCTCAAGCCCACCCAGTAATTGCCAGCATTGTTGAAGGCCTCAAATACCCATTTCTTTATTCTCTTTCCGATTTCGGAAATTTACCCGAAAAGCCCCACAAGAATATTGTTAGGGTCTTGAAGGGAAAACCCTTTAGAAAACCTGATATTTCTGTGACTGTTCAGGAGGTGTTGGAGAAGATGAAGGGTGATGGTAAAATGGGAATTTTTGTGGATGTTGGGGCTAATGTTGGAATGGCAACATTTGCCGCCGCGGTTATGGGGTTTAGGGTTTTGGCATTTGAGCCGGTTTTTGAGAATTTGCAAAGAATTTGTGATGGAGTGTACTTAAATAAGGTGGGGGATTTGGTGGAGGTGTTTGAGGCTGTTGCGTCTGATCGGATAGGGAACATTACGTTTCACAAGGTATTTGATTGAATTCAATGCTCTCTACTAAAAATTTTAAAATGTTCAAGTCGATTTCGTACTTTTTTTTTTTACGATACAATTGTAGATTTTTTGAATTCTGTGTAAGTAGTAGTATGTTAATCTTTATTGATTGTTGGAAGTTCACTGTTTGTGATGTGTATTATTCATGTATGTGAAATGCAGCACAAATTAGGAAGTGATATGGGTATGGTAGCAAACTAGCAGTAGAGGTAGAGGTAGAGGTAGAGGTAGGAAGAGATGTGTCAAAATTAGCTCTGAACGTGATAGTAAAACAAAAGTACGATAACTCACAGTTTAAAGGAAAATGTGGCCCTTGATAGAGCACAGTGGAGAAATACGATTCATGTAGCTGACCCTAAGAAGTGGGGATGAAGGTTTTGTTGAGTTGAGTTGATATAATAGGGTTTCTGCTTGTTTATGGAACATTTCTTTTGAAAAAATTTCTGTCATATCATTCCCCAATAAATCTCAGTGCTCTGCTGCTTTCTTCTAAGCTACGACACACACTATCACATGAGGTTTTGGTAACTTATGGAGTGATACAGGGTGATTGGCTGAAGCTCTGTAAGACAAAAATCACATTTGGTATAATGCTCTATTTTATTGTTGTGTATGTGAATGGTAGTGTTAAGTTAAAGACCATCATGTAGTTTCGTAGTCTGTGGTTGAAGGGAGTCGGTTACCTGGATCGTAAAAACATATTTGTCTTGTTTGTGCTGGCCAATCATTTGGTATTCTATTCCCCACTTTTGTCTAGCTTACATTCTCCATTCCAACGAGGAATACCATCGAATCTGGCATATATCTTATGATCCATCTGTTATCCAAGTTATTTTCTGTGGTTTAAATAAAATATTAAATACCTTTTCCAGGTGTCAATTTATTTGCATCTTGTTGCATTGGGTGTCCTGATATGTTTTCTCATCATAATTCTCTGCGTATGTTACTAGTTGGTTGGCCGGCTCGACAATAGTGCAGTGTCAGCCAGTGGTGCAAAGATGGCATTTAAGTTCAATGAAGAAATTGCACTTCAAGTAAGGTCCATTCCCCTTGATGAAGTGATCCCGGAGTCTGAATCTGTGCTTTTGCTCAAAATAGATGTTCAGGGCTGGGAGTATCATGTATTGAAGGGAGCCTCAAAGTTACTGTCAAGAAAGAAAGGTGACGCCCCGTACCTAATCTATGAGGAAGATGAGCGGTTGTTACAAGCCAGCAATAGCAGTGCAAAAGAGATCAGGGATTTCCTCCACACTATGGGTTACCATCATTGCACACAGCATGGTACCGATGCACACTGCATCAAGCAGGATTGACAAGGTTATTTTCCAAATGACTTGGACAGAGCCTTGCTGCATTATTGCAGTTCATTTTTTTCGTATTGAAGCTGTGAGATGGATTTAGCTGATTAGTGACAAAAAGTTCTTTCTGGTGTGTTATGATTGGAGTAGTTGGAGGTCCTAGAGATACCACTATGCCAAGAGTTTCTGCTAGCTTCTCACTTGCCCTGTGACACTGACTGATGAGGATTCGCTATGCTTCCAAATGGGAATACAGGTTTACAAGATAGCGTGATGACCCTGCAATGGAAATAGTAGCTGTGTTGCTTGTTAGCAGTTTTCACTTGGGTTTTTCCTGGTTGTGAATTTGTTGGCTTCAACAGTAAGAGACCTTACTTATTCATTGATCCTCCTGATGCTTGAAGATATTGATTTTGAATTTTCAGAAATGATACAATTTTTTTTTAGTAGAAGATCCCAATTCAAGCCTTACAGTGCCTTAAATTTATGCCCTTTTCGAGTTCTTTGAAGAGTGATCGGCATACATTGTAATGAGTTTACACCTACAAGGTTTTAAATCTGGATAATTATGTCTAGCACATTGAAAATAGAATGCCCAATTGGCAAGAAATAATGAGGAACAGTTTTGCAATTCGTTAGTTGTTTCTCAACTCAATTTAACTAAAAAAAAAAAAAGTCTCTAATTCCAACCAATTAGCGTCGGTTTCATAACAATCATTTAGTTGTTTATATCCTCAAAATTTTTTGTCAAGATGACCGTAAAAACTAGACAAATCATTTGCATCCTTGTTTCTAGTTTCGACAATCGGTTTCTTGGCAAAGGAAGACACGGATGATTTCAAGTGGGTGTGTATGAAGTGTAAAATGTTGTTGTGCTTGAAGGAATTAAGAGGTGGACAACAAAGCCAATGTCTCAGCAAATTGGCTTGCAAAGCAAAGGCTGTGGCTTAACCCAAAGTAGCTCAAATGACGAATTGTAAATCTACACATCTTAAATTTTAATTTTAATAATTTTTTGAGGATAAATTATAATAGATTTTTTTTTTTATGAATACCTTAGTTCCGATATGGATGACTTGCCTTTGATCAAATAAGATAAGGGATTAGTCGAAGTACACTTAAATTGGCCTAAATACTCCTGATCATTGAACCAAAAAAGGAAAAAAAAAAAGACAAAAAAGGTTGTGGCTTACTGGGTAAAGCCTTAGATGTAAATTNCAAAAAAAAAAAAGTCTCTATTCCAACCAGTTAGCGTCGGTTTCATAACAATCATTTAGTTGTTTATATCCTCAAAATTTATTGTCAAGATGACCGTAAAAACTAGACAAATCATTTGCATCCTTGTTTCTAGTTTCGNAAAAAAAAAAAAAGTCTCTAATTCCAACCAATTAGCGTCGGTTTCATAACAATCATTTAGTTGTTTATATCCTCAAAATTTTTTGTCAAGATGACCGTAAAAACTAGACAAATCATTTGCATCCTTGTTTCTAGTTTCGACAATCGGTTTCTTGGCAAAGGAAGACACGGATGATTTCAAGTGGGTGTGTATGAAGTGTAAAATGTTGTTGTGCTTGAAGGAATTAAGAGGTGGACAACAAAGCCAATGTCTCAGCAAATTGGCTTGCAAAGCAAAGGCTGTGGCTTAATCCAAAGTAGCTCAAATGACGAATTGTAAATTTACACATCTTAAATTTTAATTTTAATAATTTTTTGAGGATAAATTATAATAGATTTTTTTTTTTATGAATACCTTAGTTCCGATATGAATGACTTGCCTTTGATCAGATAAGATAAGGGATTAGTCGAAGTACACTTAAATTGGCCTAAATACTCCTGATCATTGAACCAAAAAAGGAACAAAAAAAAAAAGACAAAAAAGGTTGTGGCTTACTGGGTAAAGCCTTAGATGTAAATTGGATTAATATCAAATTCTAATATTTAATAAGACTCACAATCAATCTAATGATTATAGTGAATTAGGTTACTTTAGGTCCCAATAACATTATACTCTTTATAAAAAACTAGTTATTTCCCGTGCATTAATGCACGAAGTAATAAAAAAATGGATCGACAATAAATAAATTTGTATTCACACTCAAAATCAAATTACAAAGATAGATGAAAAGAGAAAAAAATTTAATCATTAATTGTAGTGAGGGGCGAGTGGTGGTAGTGGGGGGTGGGAGACAGTGATGGGTGACAACAGCCATTACTGATGGTGGCAGTCATGAGTGACAACGGTGATAGTGGTGGTGGGGCGGTAGGGGTGGCGGTGGTAAAAGTGATGGTAGGACAGTGACAGTGGTGGTAAGATGGCGACATCAGTGGTAATGGTAAAAGTGATAGTGACAGTGGTAATAAATATAAAAATAAAATGATGATAATAGTGAGTAGTGACGGTTAGGGTGGTGGGGGTAGTCGTCGTGGTTGTGGGACAATGAGGATGATGGTGGTAGAGATAGTGATGGGACAGTGGCGGTGGTGGTAGGGTGGCGGCAACAGTAGTGATGATAGCGATGACGATGGGTGGGAATGGTGGGAGTGGGGATGATGGTGGTAGGGAGGTAGGGGGTGGTGGTGGTGGTAGAGTGACGACAATGGTGGTAGGACAGTGGTGGTGATTTTTGTGGAAGAGGTGGTGGTGAAAGGGTGGCGACAGCGGTGGTTGTTGTTGTTATAGAAGAGATGGTGGTTGGGTGGTGGCGGCGATGGTGGTGGCGGTGACGGTGACAGTGGGGCCGTGGTGGTAGTTTTTGTGGAAGAGGTGGTGATAGANATGGGACAGTGGCGGTGGTGGTAGGGTGGCGGCAACAGTAGTGATGATAGCGATGACGATGGGTGGGAATGGTGGGAGTGGGGATGATGGTGGTAGGGAGGTAGGGGGTGGTGGTGGTGGTAGAGTGACGACAATGGTGGTAGGACAGTGGTGGTGATTTTTGTGGAAGAGGTGGTGGTGAAAGGGTGGCGGCAGCGGTGGTTGTTGTTGTTATAGAAGAGATGGTGGTTGGGTGGTGGCGGCGATGGTGGTGGTGGTGGTGATGGTAGTGGTGGGGCAGTGATGGTGGTGGTAGTCATGGTGGTGGGGCGGTAGGGGTGGTGGTAGAGTGATGATATTGGTGGTGGTGGTGGCGGTGACGGTGACGGTGACAGTGGGGCCGTGGTGGTAGTTTTTGTGGAAGAGGTGGTGATAGAATGGTGGCGGCAGCGGTGGTAGTGGTGGGACAATGAGTGGTGGTGGTGGTGACAATGGTGGTGGCGACGACCGCAACGGAAGTGGTGGTAGTTGTTATAGCAGAGATGGTGGTTGGACGTTGGTAATAGTGGGGCGGTTTCAAACACTATTTAAAAAAAAAAAAATTTATAAGAAGTTATAACTTTTATAAATACTTTTAAAAAGTTATTTCAAACACACCTTTAAACTCTTATTTTTTCTATTAAATTTGAGATGTTAATATTAGTTGTTTGATTAATTTTAAAATATAATTTTAAAACGATCTCAACTGTGAAAAATAAATATTATTTTATTTATCTTTTGAAATTTGAATTATATTATATAGATATTTTTATTAAATGCGTGTTTTATAACTATATTAGAGATAACTCAGTGCAACGTAAGTAAGAAGCGATAGATTTAATAAAGAGAAAATTCAATGTAAATGATTTTGAGATAGATGTTGGTAACTGTTAAATTAATCTATTTAAAAACATCCGATAAATTTTTTTTTTCAAATTTATCCTATNCGTTGGTAATAGTGGGGCGGTTTCAAACACTATTTAAAAAAAAAAAAATTTATAAGAAGTTATAACTTTTATAAATACTTTTAAAAAGTTATTTCAAACACACCTTTAAACTCTTATTTTTTCTATTAAATTTGAGGTGTTAATATTAGCTGTTTGATTAATTTTAAAATATAATTTTAAAACGATCTCAACTGTGAAAAATAAATATTATTTTATTTATCTTTTGAAATTTAAATTATATTATATAGATATTTTTATTAAATGCGTGTTTTATAACTATATTAGAGATAACTCAGTGCAACGTAAGCAAGAAGCGATAGATTTAATAAAAAGAAAATTCAATGTGAATGATTTTGAGAGAGATGTTGGTAACCGTTAAATTAATCTATTTAAAAACATCCGATAAATTTTTTTTTTCAAATTTATCCTATCTTATATTATAAATTTTCACATCAACCAAGTTTTAATAAACTGTGACGAACATGGCCTCGTTAATCCGTTAATGTAAAAGATGAGATATTTCTAATCATTTGATTAATTTAAGAAAAAAAATGGGTTAATATGTTTGTCGTCATTATGCCGAGAGAGAGAGAGAGAGAGAGAGAGAGAGAGAGAGCCTTATCTAGCTGTAAAGCTACTTCTGCCGATAAATTCGTTACCACCAAGAGCAGCTTGGAAAGTCGAAACTCATACTCTAACCCAAAATCTTTTCAATTCTTTCCTCTGATTATCTTCAAACTATTTTCCAACAGTCAATTCTAATTAAGACCACTCCCAGTTCCTTGAGAAAAATGGCCAACTGTCTTTGTTTCACTCCTTTCACTTCCTTCAAGCCATACAACAAACCTGGTAATCCCATCTCTCTGTGTGTGTGTGTGTGAAGATTTAATTTCATGTAACTCTTTATGGGTATAAACTCGTTTATTGCGATGAACCATTAATGGGTTTTTTTCAGCCCTCATTAGTGACAATTGTACTGGTGGAAAGGTGTATTGGGTCAATGTTGTAACACTCCACTCTGAAAATGCTAAATTCCAAGCTTTGAAGGTCAAGGTGAGAGTTTATCCTAATTCCCATTTGCTGAATTTCCTGTATTTATCTGAATTTGAACTCGAAGCTCAGTTTCCATAATTTGACAATTGTATAATGCGTTTCGTCCATAGGTTTTATGTGTTCACTTGTTTTACTGCATTATAGGTAACTATGATACGGGTATATGATGTGCTCTAAATATGAATAGAAGCCGTAGAGTTAATGAATTTTGGAGCAATTTTGAGAAAAAAGCCTGAAATTTGTGGCATTATTTCCAGGAGTATTTACTTAGTTTTTGTTCCTTTCTATTTTATTAGTTTTAGATAAGTGAGAAGGAAGAGTGTGTCTCCTGAGGCCAACTCGTAGCACTCCTCCCATTAAAGGATTTTCTTTGACACTTCGGATTCGAACATTCAATTCTATTTCGTGAGAAGAATCTAAGCGAGAGACTCCTAAAAGGTAGGACATAGACAAGGCCAGAGAACAACAAACATTTTGTTATTGGAGATAATTGTATTTTGATTGAGTTATTGATATAAGGAAAAATGAAGAAAATAAGGTTGACAAAAAGATCCTTCTTTTTCTTTGAATCCTTAATATAGAGGATAGTGGAGATGTTCTTGTTGGTCATTTTGAAATTTGGTCGATGGATGCATCTAAGATTAAAAGAAGGAAAAGTTTGATGATGTGGGTGTGGCTGTTCCTAGTCAAGTGGTAAAAATTCGGTTGGCAACCGGGAGTTGCTGCTTAAAATCTGAAAGCAGCCATTTTCTGCAAACAATGTGCTATTTTAGTGAATTCCCCGTTTAAGAAGTTCGTCTGGCCTTCTGCCTTTGCCTCTTTGTAGAGAAGAAGGTTTAGATAGTCCACTCATTCTCTGTTCTTGTTTTCTCTATCTCTTTGGGAGGAAGTACCCCCCTCTCTGGTAACTGCACTAAAATGATGAGCAGNCTGCCTTTGCCTCTTTGTAGAGAAGAAGGTTTAGATAGTCCACTCATTCTCTGTTCTTGTTTTCTGTATCTCTTTGGGAGGAAGTACCCCCCTCTCTGGTAACTGCACTAAAATGATGAGCAGGAAACAGGAAATAGGGTAATCTGGGCAATTCAGGCATGGTGAAGCTATTTGTCTAATTGCTTCATTGATGGAAAAAATGTTGTGGATGGTTTTACAATTAGAGGTGATATGATTTGGTGAGAACAAACACGAAGGCAAAGAAATTCCAATTGAACATGGAATGAGGATGTGACGAGATATATGGTGGCCTACACTTGGTTGTAGGTTTCAATTAAACAGTGAATAAAGAGTTCATGAAAGGTAAATCTAAGGACAAGGATTAGTTGAGTTGAGTTATGCTGAGATTGTGTTGTAATTTAGTTATTTTCTTATTGCCTGTTTTTTCCTCTCCTGTGTAGCCTGTTGATTGAAAATTGCTTTTGTCTTGGTTTTACAGGCTACAGATAGTAACCAAGGTACCAAGCCAAATAGCATAGTGTGTGCTAATTGTGACGGAAATGGTAAGTAAAATGCAGATTTTTTGTTTTTATTTTTCATTTCTAGACTTTATGCATTAATTTTGCATACTCTTGCTATGATTGTTGAGTTTAGACATCTGTTATTCATCCCTTATAAATATGACGCTTATATAATAGTTTTGTAAAGGAGCATGCTTCAATGTATAGTTTATCAATTTAAACAAAAAAGCTGTTATACACGCGTCATATTGAAGTTCAATTGAAATTAGAACAGAAACCTTTATAAACTGCAGATCCTAGCTTAGGTTATAGTACTTAATACAAGTGTACAGCAACACCCCCCCCCCCCCTTNTTATACACGCGTCATATTGAAGTTCAATTGAAATTAGAACAGAAACCTTAATAAACTGCAGATCCTAGCTTAGGTTATAGTACTTAATACAAGTGTACGGCAACACCCCCCCCCCCTTCCCTGTTCGTGTACCTTAATCGTGTATAGGGGATTTGCTTTTTATATTGCATACAATTTTTTTTTTTGTCTTTCTCCACTATGTTATGGGGTTAGAACCAAGAGCACTGACTTGTTCAATTGAGGTTGTCAACCTTTTGCAATTACATGGTAGTTTAAATTAATCAACAGCTTGGTTCAAAAGTTTCTTCCTAGAATCACATGTGATGGAGAATGTCATCTCAGTGTTTGTTGACAACATAATTACCAGGTGCTGTATCGTGTTCACAATGCAAAGGTACTGGAGTTAATTCTGTAGATCACTTCAATGGACAGTTTAAAGCTGGTGGATTATGTTGGCTTTGCAGGTATGTGTGGCAATTTTTTGGCAGTCAAGTATGCCATTTGATGTTACATAAACATTTTAATAACTATGTTAGCATCATCATAGTTATAAATATCGTCATCATCAGTATCTCTGCAGTTTCTGATTTGCAGTCTTAGCCATGACTTTGTTTAAATTACGGAAATTTGTGTGGGACAACCAGGCAAATTATCAATTTTTAAACCTTCTGCAGAGACCACTCTCGTTGTTATAGTTCTTTCTTCTTTTTTTTCTTTGGGTTTTTTCTGTTTTCTTCCCAAAATTAGTTGTTGCCATGATGCAAAATCCGCTGGCAGATTCTACATTGCTTTGCTTACTCACAACACGTGTCATACTCAATAAATTTTATAGTCTGTCTCCAATTTTTGTAATGCCATTTTTTAGGAAATAGTTGCTGTGATTAGTGATGCCTTGTTCATCATATGTGCCCGTAAAACCATAATCATGGTCATGCATGCCTGTTTCAAAGAATCGGAGTCTTCTATTCTGTTTATATAAGGAGAGCTGGAGCTTACATTGACAGAGCTCACCTAAACTATTGAGTATTGACATAAACTTAATGCCTTTCTGATTCCACACCCTGAGCATGCATGTACGAACGTCAATACACAATTTGATGATTTTCACTACAAAGATCTATTGGAATAAATATTACTCCTATTCATTTACTGTGGCTTTTATCAATCAGGAAGATTGATTACAATTCCGTCTTGTCTGGGCACCCTTTTGATTCCTCTAAATTTTCCATGCTTGCAGAGGTAAAAGGGAGATGCTGTGTGGAGAATGCAATGGAGCTGGCTTCATTGGTGGATTCATGAGCACCTTCGATTCATAGGTTCGGGTCTTCAGTGAGCTGTATTGCTCTGCATGTTGAACGATAGATTATTGTCTTCTTGTACTGAATCTTAGATGGCAATGTCATACATCAGTTAAACATATTCTTAGCTACTTTCATATAATCTTCAAGAAAATGAAAGAATATTGTTTGATTCATGAGCATCTTTGATGATGAGTTCATCCATTCAGATCTTCGTTGAATTGTGTTTCTCTTCATGATGAAAAGGGTAGATTGATGTTTGTCTCATAATTTTTCAAGTTTCATGGTATTATGTCATTGAGATGCATTGGCTTTGCAAAGAACTGAATTTTTAGGGAACTTAAGGTGTCATGACTCAATTACAACCCAATTGAGAGGTTTTTTTTTTTGCTAATTAAAAATTGAGATTTAAGGGGAAAAGGAGTACAAGAAATATAATCGAGCACCAATGCTCGATACATGCCTGAAGACCTTACAAAGCACTTCTCAACCTAATCCAAAAAATCAATTTGTTCCAATCCTATCATCTATCCCTTCTAATGGCAAGTCTTGTGGATGACTTTCTTCCCAATGCTTTCCGTCGAGACTTGGTTCCATAGCCTTCAGACATTTTTGATAAAGCGAAGTCGTGCAGAAGTTAGCTACATTGAGGACTCATACATGGATTCATATGACTCATTGGAGAACAAACTCTCCCCTCCATCACCAACATCAAAACCATCTCCTTTGCTTGCTGCGTCATTTTCCTCGGATTGGTCTTTTTGGCATTGGAAGGCATCTTTCTTGTTGTCAGTTGGCTGCTCAACATTTTGAGATGGGGAATGTGAGGGTTGTTGGTTTGCTTGGTCTGGCGCTAGTTGACATATGATCACCTCAGTAATGGGTTGAGGCCATTCAAGTGAATCGATGAAAGATCCAGAATTCTCATCCACCTGCACTGCTTCAAATCGATTTTTGAACTGAATTTGTGTGTTGCTCAATGGTGATGGATCTCTCTGCACAACTTTCTCCAACTCAAGTGGAAGAAGGCATGTCTGCTGCTTGTTTCCATTCTCCAAAAGTGTTGTGATAGTTTGCTCCCTAAGATTGGGCAGACTTCCCTTGGTGGTGCATGCAATATTTACCTCACTAGAAGATGTAAATATTTCATCTAGTCCTTTCCTTCAATTTCTTGCTTGGCACTAAAAGCCAAGGCCCAAAGTCTCCTTCTTGATTGCTGTGGAATTTTTCGGTCCGATTTTGTTGCCCTTGCCCTTCTTGTTGAATGTGTGTGCAAGCATCCTCTCTTGTGCNGTCATGACTCAATTACAACCCAATTGAGAGGTTTTTTTTTTTGCTAATTAAAAATTGAGATTTAAGGGGAAAAGGAGTACAAGAAATATAATCGAGCACCAATGCTCGATACATGCCTGAAGACCTTACAAAGCACTTNACCGTATCGAAAGTCATGACTCAATTACAACCCAATTGAGAGGTTTTTTTTTTTTTGCTAATTAAAAATTGAGATTTAAGGGGAATAGGAGTACAAGAAATATAATCGAGCACCAATGCTCGATACATGCCTGAAGACCTTACAAAGCACTTCTCAACCTAATCCAAAAAATCAATTTGTTCCAATCCTATCATCTATCCCTTCTAATGGCAAGTCTTGTGGATGACTTTCTTCCCAATGCTTTCCGTCGAGACTTGGTTCCATAGCCTTCAGACATTTTTGATAAAGCAAGTCGTGCAGAAGTCAGCTACATTGAGGACTCATACATGGATTCATATGACTCATTGGAGAACAAACTCTCCCCTCCATCACCAACATCAAAACCATCTCCTTTGCTTGCTGCGTCATTTTCCTCGGATTGGTCTTTTTGGCATTGGAAGGCATCTTTCTTGTTGTCAGTTGGCTGCTCAACATTTTGAGATGGGGAATGTGAGGGTTGTTGGTTTGCTTGGTCTGGCGCTAGTTGACATATGATCACCTCAGTAATGGGTTGAGGCCATTCAAGTGAATCGATGAAAGATCCAGAATTCTCATCCACCTGCACTGCTTCAAATCGATTTTTGAACTGAATTTGTGTGTTGCTCAATGGTGATGGATCTCTCTGCACAACTTTCTCCAACTCAAGTGGAAGAAGGCATGTCTGCTGCTTGTTTCCATTCTCCAAAAGTGTTGTGATAGTTTGCTCCCTAAGATTGGGCAGACTTCCCTTGGTGGTGCATGCAATATTTACCTCACTAGAAGATGTAAATATTTCATCTAGTCCTTTCCTTCAATTTCTTGCTTGGCACTAAAAGCCAAGGCCCAAAGTCTCCTTCTTGATTGCTGTGGAATTTTTCGGTCCGATTTTGTTGCCCTTGCCCTTCTTGTTGAATGTGTGTGCAAGCATCCTCTCTTGTGCTGCAAGTTCATTGTCATGACCAAGATGACCACACAGGAAACATATCTTCGTAAGACCTTCATACATAACGTCTTGCTTGTGTTCACCTATAAACACATGAGAGACCAAAGGTGCCGATATTTTTATTTGAACACAGTCTAGCAAATTTTCCTCTAGAAATGTCTTCAATTCTAGCATCAACCCTGATTAACTTACCAAGCTCAAGCTCTATTTCCTTAAAGACATGAGTCATAATACCCAATTGGCAAACCAGGCGAACCCATAGTACCATCGTGTCGTCCTTTGTAGCTGACGGTCGGAAATTAGGCTCCCTTTGTCTGACACTTGTGAATTGCCCAAGGAACCGTGGGCCTCCGCTGAGTGTCCTCATGGTCTCACCTTCCGACTGGAAGCGAGCAATGTAGTAGCCTTCACCTAAGGTTATACATTCCATTCTTCCCTTAATTTTCCATAAAATAGTCAATTTGCCAGTCAAGTATTGATAGTTATACACCCGATCATAGGTTTTGAAGATAATAGAGTTTGCCCAAGGACATCGGATTCTTGCTTTATCTTCTTCGGACAAATTGATCCTGGGGCTTCTTGACCCATCATCGAACTTTTCTTTGTGGCCAGGGCATCTTTATAAGAGAATTGTGGGGCATATGTTGATGTGGATGTCTCGATATGGTTTTTCATGGTGTCTTGGCACTTGGGTGGGATAGGATACTCTGAGGGCTTTGGTAAAGGGTTGAGATGAGGATGTGAGAGTCGTCTGGTGGCTTGGTTCGACGGCTCTTGGCACTTGAGTGAGATGGGACATTGTAAGGGCTTTGGTAAAGGGTTTAGGTGAGGGTGTAAGAGCCGTTTGGAGGCTTGGTCTTATGGTTTGTCCGGTGCACCAGCAGCCATTACTACTAAATTACTGTTTGCGTCACATGGGCTTTTTTATCAAACAGTTGGCGTGCGTTCGGATATCACAAACAAACAATAGAGGGCGAAATGTATTAGTGGGTAGAAGTAGAGGTGTGAGGAGGTGGTGATGTTGATTGTGGTCTTTATCAAGAAGTGTATGTTGTGTTGGAAGGTTTTGAGAACGGTGAGAACGAGTAAGGTCTGTTGTGAGAATACAATTGTCTATGACTTTTTTGGTTGTTTGGCAAATGATCGAACACTTGGTGTTCATGTAGTACAAAACACCATAAACAAAAAGATAGATGAGAGAGAAAAAAAAAGTACACAAAATAAAAAAAATTGAGGGAAACAATGCTTTCTTGAGTTATTTAAGCTAATGGATGGAGGTTTTTGGGTGGAATATGTATGGTGGTGGGAAAACAATGAGGACAGTAGTATTAAATTAGGGAAAAGATCTTTGTAGTTGCTGTTGTCTTTAATTTCATTCTAAAACTTGTCTGCAAATTGAATTGATAATTCAATTGGGACAATAGTTTTATGATGGATATAATGTCCTAGAAATTTTATACGTGATTAAAAAGTTTGATTATGAAAAAGGTAGATTAGTTTCTGTCTCATAATTTTTTTAGTTTCATAGTATTCAGATTAATATTTTAAGATCAATGTAAAACAATCTTATTTTATCGTAGTAACTTCATCCGATTACGTCAGAATTGTTGGTACAGTACTGCCGATAACGTTGTATTCCTCGAATTGTGAAGACAAATCTGTGTAGTTGAGCCCAAGAAACGGAAAAAGTTCTCTATTCTTGGAGCCATTTTGTATCGGTTATGACTTTGTTGAGAAGTTGGATAAAAATTCAAAAGAAGCGCTGGGCATTCATAGGCTTGACCATTATTCATACGGCTGGTAACAAATTCTGACAAAGTTATGGTCTGTAAATGTAATTTTCTGTTAGTCCTCAAAGTTTGTTTGCCTAGTCAATTTAAGAAAAATCTACAGTATTGATTCAATACCATACTAAAAAAATTAGGATAAATTATGATTCAATGAGATCAAATTATAACTCACTAAATGCCAAAGTCACTGTAAGAAAAAGATTTTGGTGCAATTTTCCTTTGACAATTCTGGGGTTGTTTCATTGACTATACATGAGAAGATATGTACGTTTTGTGTGGAACAGCATGACAAACTAGATAATGGATAAAACAAAGGTATTGCGGCTAGCAATGAATATTTTAGTCAAAAGGAAGACAATGCACCAGCAATTGTAGAGATCGGTGGGGACACATCAATTATGCATGGTCTGTGATTGTGGGCAATCTTTTAGAGAGATCGTAGGAAAGATTGGGTTGACAAGGTCAGACCATCACATTATCAGTGTAATATGGGGGGATGTTGAAGGGTAAGGTGCAAATTGTTATGTTTGAATTTGGAGAGGAGGAAGAAAGAATAAGACAGAGAGAAGAGAAGAAAGAAAAGATAACTGGGATTTATTTTATAATGCTTTATTGGGATTCATGTGGCTGTATTTATAGCTAGTACAGCAAAAAGAAATACAAGTGCAACAACTAAAAGAGAGAAAATCAAGAGAATAACAGTAGATTAGGTAATGGCTAAAGAATAGGAACAAATAGAAGCAAACTAGGTAATTTGTTAAAGAATAAGGACCGCATTTGAACTCTTTCAACAGGTTAGAGTATGTAACAGTCCCCCTCCCCCACTTCGAACGGTCCTTGTCCTCAAGGACGGAACCTAGGGTAGGCCCTTCGGAATCGCCATTCAGTTTCCCAAGTAGCATCTTCGACTGGGGTGCCGACCCATTTGATCAAAACTTCGGATTTCGGGCGGTATTTACCTTTTTGTACTTCCCGCCGAGCCAAAAATGGATTCTAGTTNCATAATGCTTTATTGGGATTCATGTGGCTGTATTTATAGCTAGTACCGCAAAAAGAAATACAAGTGCA